TATATATATAGCTTTAACGTTACGTGCACAACCTGTAAGTTGCGAGGTGGCCCTAGCAATAATAAAGAAATATAATGTTTCTGTATTTAGAAAAAAAACGTTAAGAACTGCCTTGCACCCGAACCTAACATATACATTGCAAAAACCGAATATGTATTATCGCACGGAAGCACCAAGCAACCTATTATTTTTTGGGGGCTGTTAACAGTAGCCGGCTCTTCATAGTTGGGGTATCATAATCATGTCGGGGTAATATACACAGAAAGTACGAAGGCACAAAGAACCTGTTATACTATTATACACTTAATATGTAGAATATGTTGCACTGCTACTGGTGTTGTTTCGGCAATGGCGGTGATTCAAGAAAATCATATATACTATGATATATATACTATATGAAATATCCGACTACTAACTTTAGTTTGTAGTCGAATTGTAACACAAAAAAACACCACTAGCGTACACGAAATAAACGCAGACAAAAAGACTATCTAAATAAAAACAGATATATTTGGATTGGCTAAAAATATTGTTTTTGATTGTCATGTTTGTCCAAAATGACCTTCGTTCACCCTGATTACGTTTTTGATTCGGGGCCTAACATATCACTACTTATTTTAGGTTTGCTTTCTCTGATCGGCAAATGACCTGTTAAGGATTAGTGTGGGTCAAACGATATTGATAGGTGAAGATTCGCTAAAGGGTGGCCCAAGTACACAACATACAAGGACAAATCCGGCAGGAGTAAGCTATGGACTCATAACCACAAAAGTATAACAGCCGGAAATGGCCTATACACGTAAAAGGTTCAGAACGACTGTTCGTTGGAGTTTATTTGGACGAGCCGACTTGCAACAGATTTTCCCCTGAAAAACGAACATTAATTTCTGTATAATTAAGGTTATTAGAGTTGGCCTCTAGAGTCACTGAGGAATCTTCAAGTCCTTTAAGTGTAAACTTTATTGGGGACCTTGTGAGTTGCCTCATGGAAATCTTGTCGGATTTCTAATAACACGCATGGAAGTTTATTGATAACGTAAATCGCCGATTTCGGCCAAAAAAGCGGGGGTTCGCCTAACGTGCAGAGATATGATAATTCCCGACCTTCGTTCAAATTTTGCACGACGACCCAACGTTTTCCACCGTGGCTACAATGTTGCTTACATTTTCCGTTAAACTAACTGTTCATTTCTGTACGAATTTTCTATGAAGGCCTTTCTAAAACTACAAGCAACAAGCTAAAAAAAAACTCTAGATACAAATGGGCGATCCCATATTTGGAGTCAACGGTCGCCAATGCACCTCAGGCAAGTCCTATCCCCATACCTGAATAGTGTAGAAACTGAGTCGCATGGTGTGAAGTGACTCGTCGTCCGATTAGGCTGTCAAAAAACAATATGAACATTTCCTATGAAAAGCAGTATTGACATCCCCACATCCGTAAGCATCACAATGGCTTTTTAGACTAAATGAAATTCTACAATACTTCCTTTCCTGAACCATCGAAGCCACTGAGCAACATTGTTTTCACGAAAAGCATATCCAAATGCACGCGTAATACAGAGGTAACAGGATACTGGATGGGGTAAACCTTTCTTTGCTCTTTTAGCAACAAGCTGTACCACGATACAGCCAATCAACGAACAGTCGACAACTTCGCATAATCTTCACAACTGCTTATGTGATGCGGTCACCGTAACGACAGAAGACCGAAAACGGATACTCATTCGCCGCCTTCCATAGTCCGTTTACTCTGCTGGTTAGCAATTGTGTCACTGTTCAATTTTCTCGCTGTTACCGCCGCCGCCGCCGCCGCCGCCGTCGCAGAAGCTGTAACGATCTCAGAGCGCACTGCCCACCGCATTCGCTACTTTGGTACCTGTGTTTTAGTTGCACTAGCGGCCGTCGTCATTGGAAACAGCTACTCGTGGGGCAAAGGCCGGCATGAAGCAATGACGGGCGGACAAACGGCTTACGAACAAACTCTGGCCGGCGGTTAGGCAGACGGCAGAGTCTGTCGTGCTCATCTCTCTCTAGTGCCTGCTACTGCTTCTTGCTTGCTCGATTGTCTGCCTGCCTGCCTGCCTGCCTGCCTGCCTGCCTGCCTGGTGGATGGTCGTCGGCTTTCGGCGACGTCGTTCCCACCGCCGCCGCTGCCATGCAGCTGCTGCCGTCGTCGTCGTTGCCGCCCGTCGAAGATGAGTCCACCATCACCGGCGGCTACCGGCGGTTGCTGTAGCAACAACAGCAGCAGCAGCAGCAGCAGCAGCACGAGTTCTGCGCAATTTCGACGCGCCGCTGTTCCACAATGGTAGCAGTGATAGGACGCTACTAATAATATGTTATTCGCTGCTGCTGCGTCAAAAGCGGCACATGGTAGTCGTTGTCGGCGTGACTGCCGCACCGACGATCGCCTTTGTCCATGCAGCTGAAACCAAACGGCATCAAACAAGCACGGACAATCTGCAGTGGTGCGACCTGTGAGACGATCGTACAACTGGCGGCGACGGCGGCGGCGGCGGCGGCGGCAGTAGTAGCAGCAGCAGTAGTATTAGTAGTTGCGTAATGGAATTATAGGTATAATAATGTGAATTAAAAGCACATGTGAGGCGTATGCTAGATACCGATAGTAAACAAAGCTCGCGCGGCCTGAGGCGAGCCAGCCAGCCAGCCAGCCAGCCAGCCAGTCATCGATCTGATGCGGGGACGACGCCTGACTTGCTTACGCACGTAAAGCGATCGAAGAAATTGTTATTTCTGTTTAGAACACAATGACACCAGCGGAGGTATTAAGTAATGTTGTCACTCTGCATAACGTTCACGGAACATAAATGACACCTCATACTACAATACATAGTGTTCCAGATACTAAAAATTGGTTGACAGAGTTCGGTGGATTATATTTTGCCGGGTAACAGTATTGACGAATATATGGCATCGGTTGGCCTACTGTTATTTTTTTCTGTGTTGTCTAATTCAGGCCAATGCTCACTTGTGTAGCATTCTCTAACCGAATGAATCATGCTGGGCTAGGATTACTTGAATCGAACGAACAACTATCATCCATCCATTACGATGCAGGAAAGGTGAGAACAGTTCATAGATATAGAAACGAATAGATTTACAGGCGGCATTTAGAAAAAGGCGGCAACAGAAAGCGGCTTACTGTGCAGTGTGTCGCAAATACAGATGGCACCATCAGAATCGTATTATCAATACTCATACTAATTACCTTCATATTATCCATAGAACAACTGCCACTGATGCTACACTACATATATGCGATACTACAATAACTGACGCACAAACGAAAGCCAGTTCGCAGCACCTGAACTCTCCATGAAAAGGGACATAGCCACAGAAAAATATCGATGGGTTGGCAAAAGAGACCGTTAATATAATAATAATAGCTTTTAATTAGCAAAACACTCTCACTTATCAACCTGCTGAACGGCTTGTCCATTAGTCCTGCTGTGACAACAATAGCATGAACTTCGAGACGGGTAATTTTTCCCGTATGAGCTTTCAATCAACCAATCGGCCAACAAACGATCGATTCCACGTGCACTATTGCATGCACTTCATGCACTCATATCATTCGCCGAATGGCGACCACTAACAAATGCACAGTTCTGTGCCGCTCCTGCAACATATGATCATGATCGAGTCTGCTCTGCCTTTGCGTATCTGCTTGCTTGCTTGCTTGTCTGCCTGTTGGCCTGTTTGTAAGCAGGCCATTTGCTCAATCAAAAAGCTACCTGTCATTGATTTACACGCATCGACAAATTCTCTATGCCCAGACAGAGCGTTAAACTACCACTACTACTACTACTACTACTACTAGTGTCAATACTGACATCACAGTTGTAACGACATCAGCGAGAACGGCCATGATATAAACAACGATATCCACATTACCGACATTTGTTACTATTATAGCTTCTTCTATCACCAGCATCATCATCATCGCCCCGCTTAACAGCAGCAGTCGTAACATTAATCCGCACTGATTACCAACCACTGTCTGGCTCATTGGCTATAACATCTGTATTTTGATGAAATTGGCCGAGCTTCAAAAAGCAACGAACAAACGCGATCAATGATGAACGGTGCTTGTTACAGATACACTAACTTGGTCTTGTAGTAACTTTATAATAGGTTAGCAGCAAACTGTGCGACATACCGCCATATCATCTAAATGGCGCGTACTAGCGAATACACCCCCTTACCCCCCGCCCGCCCCATAACAGCAGCCTTTCCGTTCAATGTATACTGTAGAATAATAAGCAGCAGCAGCAGCAGCAGCAACAACAGTATTGTACGTAGATGCAAATCTACCACTTCGTCACTTTTTGCAGCAGTTTTCAATTGTCCGTCTCACAAAAAACTGCTAACGATCTGTATTTCTATACAACAGCACCTATACGACATACATAACAGCATTATCAATAGTAGTGAAGGTCGACGGATCATTGCTGGCTGCTAGGCGGAGGGAAGGAGGGACGGAGGAACGAGTCAACCTAGAAACAAATCGACGATGGACACGGCGCCGACGGCCTAATTGGATTGAATCGAGTTCAACCGACTCCGATTCGATCCCAGGCTGCCAACCATCACTAGACACAGGCCAGATCGTCGCGCAACGCTACTTTTCCTCCCATAGCATCATAATAGCCGTCGCAGTTGAAGCACAGTATGCACGGAATATCAGCAGCAACACAAAGATGTGTGTGTACGCTACACGAGATATCTATATGAAGGGAACGAGCTGGCGGTAGCCGATGACGATGCTGCGACTGTTGCCGTTGCTGTTTGTTATCTGTATCACAGCCAGTATCGTCTCCGGCAGCCGCCGTATCTGCTTCGGCTGCTGCTGGCGAT